ATTCCTGCACGCTTTTAGAGCTAGTGAGATCAACTGTTGGAAGGAGACAGAACCCAAGAACCTGAACTCTGGTCCTGGTAGCCAGAAAAGCAACATTTTTTTTTTTTTAAGTTTTACATTTGTTCCAAAAACTAAACATCTCAGCCTGAAATTCTGAATTTTCATCTGAGAAGCCTCACCTCCAGTCAAGGTTTTTTGTGGCTCTTCTGCCTCCGCTCCCACCCCTTTCCTTCATAAAATAGCATGTTGGTCATTTTGCAAGATTTTTTTTTTTTTTTTTTTTTTTTTTTTACTTCTTATGCTGTATTAAGATTTTTATTTAGATCTAAAAAAATGCACATAAATTTATGAACAGCTGGAAAGACGCTATGGCCATCCAATGCTGTTCAATGACAAAAGACATTCACTGAAAGAAGAAATGACAAAAATTGAGCAACATAAGAACCTGAATAAGAAAAAGCACTTAATGTATGTTGCCCATGACATCTATGAAATCATGCCATACTCAGTAAAACCTAATGCATCAAAGGTTCAAATGCACATCCCTTTTCAAGGAATTATTTTGCACAAAGGGATTTAACCTCTGCAGCAAGCCTGGGTCCTATTAAATTAAATGTTGATACCATGGAGTCCACATTTTTTCAAGTCTGATTTTCCAATAAGAATCTGTGCTAACGTGCAAGAATCATACGAACACTTTCCAAGTATAAGTCAATATATTTCATATTTTCCACTGAATTCTCAGTAATCCACAGGGCAGCCAGACTAATTCTCTGAGACAAACTTGTTCAGAATAGTAATCTTTGGAGAGCAACAATAAATTATGACAACCTAAAAAAGGAGGCCAATCAGAAACGGTCATAATAAAATCAGCACAAAGGCACTTTTTAAATGATTAGCAAACAAGGTGCATGTCTTCAGGATTAAGAAACTGAAACCATACTGTGTAGTCTGGGAGACAATGTAATTGGTATTTATTCAGTATAAAATTTCATCTGCTTTTTTTTTTTGTTTTAACATTAACTCAAATTACCAATTCACCCTCAAATATACCAGGAATTAGAACAAATGACCTGCATAAGAAATTAGCTACTACAATGTTTTTAAAAAGCCAAATGTTTGATTATTTGAATTGATTTTTATTTTCCCCTGGGAGGCAGTATGCCTAGCAAACTGACCAAGTGTTTGAGAGCCAAGAGTTTCAAAATATACATTTTATTAATTAATTTGTAGTTTACATTTTTGTCTAAGTTTGCCTGTGTAGTTAACTGCACAACTGTTACACAGGTAGGTATAGGGAAAAAAACCCAAACATCATACTTCTTATATCAGTGTTCATGTATTGTAGATGCAGTATAGGTATAAGTGGCAAAGTATTGTTTTCCCAAGGGTGGAGATTAGTAGCGGTTGCAACAAATCCAATACCCATGTCAGTCTATTTATACAGAGTGTACACTTGATGTAAAAGGAGTCTGGGAAGCTTACTGACAGCTACAGCAACTTATTTTTGTGCAAACACACAGAGTTTAGCCAGTATGTACACACTGATCAGCTAGCTATGGTATCACAATTTGATACTTGGAATTTAATCTTTTATATGGCCATGACCAAAATAATATATCAGTGCTTCCTAGGACTCAAAAGTAGCTTCCTAACAGGCAAGCAGCCCTTTTGGGTTGGATCAGTATGTATCAGTAGTATCAAAACCATAAGTACTATATGGAAGAAATATACAGCTACCTTGAAAGTCTTCTGAATTAGGCAGCTTGACTCCACAAACAAAGTAATCCTTTTGATCGTTCTGTGGATTTAAAGGAAAATAATGCAAAGTGAGAATGTATAGCCCATCTAGAGGAAGACAGAAGTTGTACACTTTCCAAATAAAACTGCAGGCATGCCAAAAGCAAAACGAGAGAGACTTTGTAAAGACTGATTGGTACTAATCAGTAAAATAGTGTTGAAAAAATTAAAAATTATGTGAAGTCTCATTTCATTCATTCAATTTATTTTTTCCCCCCCGGAAATAAGACAGGA